GGGGTGTTAGATTTCTCTGTAGTCTACCTGGTATTGTAAATTTGCTTATTTCTGTTTGTGTGGCCATAAGAAACGTAGCTAGATGGAGCTTTGTTTTTGTTTCTTTGGTGCTATTTTCTCTCTTGGCTCTCCACGATCTCAGTTGGTAGCGTGCTGGTCTTCAGAGCGGATGGCCCTGATTTGAATCCCAGATGAGACTTTCTTGGACAAGAGGTATTTTCAGGAGTTTTCAAAGCTCTCAACCCATTCAGCTCGGTCCAATCGGAGACGGACGTTAAAGGTGGAGGTTCAGCCTCTTAACACTTTGCGGTCACTTGCAGCAATAATGCGTCGCTAACAATGATCCGTTCCGGTCACCTGGTGCAGTTTTGCAACTGGCCCGAGAAGTCGGTTGCATGCATGCAGTCGCTCTACTGGCTGAGTGACCAGATGGTGTATTTTGTACTGCCGGCTGTGTGACTGCAAAGTGATAAATAGATAACCTGACAGTGTTGATAAGGGCGTTAAACCCATCATCATCATCATCATCCAGTGCAAGATCTGCGACAGACATCGGCGATCATGGTTCCCCATTCATTCCTTTGCTCGGATGCTCTCAAAAAAGCTACGTTTCCTTGATCTTTCTCTGTTACCCATTTGTTTAGGTTCCCTAAGCATGTTGTTCTGGGCCTACCCCTGCCTCGCTTGCCCTCAATTTTGCCAGTGAGAGCTAGATGTTCAAGACCTTTATAAATATCTATTCAGGTGTCCCAAAAACTGCATTTGTCGTTTCCTGGTTGTTTTTAACATTGAGCGTCCCACATGGGCTTCATCAAGCACTACCTCATTTGATTTCTTTTCCTTACGCGATACTCTTAGCAGTCTCCTAAGAAACCACATTTCTGTTGCTTCTATTTCATAACCCTTCCACACTTACTTTTATTCTTTCTCCCTGTCTCCCCCGCCAGGGTGTCTCCACCGACTTGAGTGACGAGACAAACCACAACTCTTCTTCGCTGACTGAATCCATGTCTCAAGAGGGTGGAAGTGGACAGAACCAGGATCTTTCAGCCACCCAGGGGATGGGCCTCTCCAGTAATGGGTCCAGCGACGCTTTGTGATACCCTACCCAGAACAGGATCAAAATGAAGATGTACTAAGTTTGTGTAAATTATGCAGTCTGGCACGCACGCAGTGGGCTCTTACATAGTGAACAGATTTTCGGGCCCTGAATAATTTTTTTAATGTATCATATATAATATATATATATATGTGTATTTGTTGTATTTAAAACATGTGCATAGAGGAATTTGTATATATATATGTGTGTGCACCTTGAGACAGGTACCAAAAGTCGCCCCCGGACCGTTTCGAGCTACAGGCTGATAATGACAAAAAATCACTTTTTAAAAAAAAAACCAAAATGTGTTTCCATGAAAAAAATTATAGGTCCACCATTTTTTTTACAATGTGCTCAAAGGGTTTTCATTGATTTGACTTTTAAATATTTTATTTTGAATTATTTTGAGAGTAGGGCATAATAAAAACAAATAATGAAAACTGCTTTTAAAAGGTGTTAAAATCTATTCTTGAAGCATGTTTTCTCTTCCCTGCTGTTTTACCGTTGAATTCCATTCATGATATTGATGTTAACTGAATGTCAAATTGGAAATGAATTATCCATGAATAAATACATTTTAAAATCATTTTTTAAGTTTGTATGTGTTCTCACGTTTGTTCAACTTAAAAGCTCATTTTCTCAAAATTATACATTTATATTCTACCTCGCAAAATGTGCAATATCTCAAAAACTACTTGAGATGTCTAAAAAATTCAAAGACCCCCTGTGTTCAACTTGGAATTTCCTATAAGGTTCATCCCTTTACTCAAAATCCGACTTTTGGTACCTTTCTTTAGGCACACACACATGTATTTATATAATGAAAAGATTTCCGTGTCCGTCTGATGTTGCTATGTGCGTGCTAGGATGTATACAGTAACTATTGTCATTATAATATATGTCTTTTTTTTTCCCCTCCAGATGAAAAGTTGAAAAGTTTTGAATTTTTGTTGTTGCTGGTTTCAATTCATAATTTTCTCAGAGTTTGGATAATGAGCCTTTTCTCTCATTATTTTTTCTGTGGTTGGTGTGTTGCAAATGTAGGCTGGAACGTAAAGGCCTACCTACGTGATTCATACAGTTGACTGATGTTTTATATCATGTGTTGTTAACTGTTTGGGGTTGTTTGTTTTGGGGTGTTTTTTTTCAGTAGACAATGGGAATTTTTATAGCCAGACTTAATCATTCCTTTGACCATACAGTTGATAATGATTGATGGCAAAAATTGCCTGCTTTCAGCTACGTTTGCTTCTCTTTGAGCCCAACACTCGCTGTCCATAGCGACCTGTTACATTTGTTGAGGTCCGAGATTTTCTTTTCAGCTGTACTGTCATTGTCAGGACTTGGGTCCCACGACTTGCGATTAAAAAGAATGAATTTGTTTCATGACAAAGTGTGGGGATTCTTACTGGTTTTATGTCCTGTTTTACTTTTTTTTTGTGTCTGAAGCTTTTTCTTGTGTGAGTTGATGTAAATGTCAGCTGGCCCTTGGTCTATTTAGTTAATGTTTAGTACCGTACAAGTTTTACAGCACTTGCAACCCAAAGAGGTCATATTTAAGTGTCAAAGATAAGAGATGATGCTACTTGAGAGTAACATAATAATAATACAAAGAAAATACAAAACGAGGAGAGATGAGGATGTTAGATGCTTGAAGTTTGATAGGAAAAAAGGAGCAAACCCCATGAGAGCGCCCGCCAACCACCCACCTACTCTTTGAGGTCTTTAATCCTCTGCCTCTTGATACAAACTCATGTAGGCCTACCGGAACAGTGAAACTCAGATACAGTAGGCCTACAATGACCTTGGACTTAGATCTGTATTTTATGATGAACACTCGGACTCGACAAATGGGGGGTGGATTCCCCATATTTTTAGTCAGCAAAAGTAAGTTGCTTCAGAGTCCTAAAACACTTCTCTCCAAGGATATGACTCTCTAAATACTCTAATCTACTACAGTGCAGCCTCTCTATAAAAACCTTTGATGTAACGACATTCTCTGTATAGCGACATGGTACCCAGGTCCCGATTTTTTTCTTTTATAGATCTATATCATTAGTATTTTTTTGTTGCTTCTCTATAATGACAACCCTCTATAACGACATTTTTGGGGGGTCCTGACGATGACTATAGAACAATCACACCGGAATCTTCTAACCTAACACCGATGTCTGTGGTGTGACAGTTAAGCATTTCGTGGTCACACGCAGGAGACCCAAGTTCGATTCACGAGTGGGTAGAATTTTTATCGAGTATCTCTATCTTTCTACTTTGATGTTGTATACCTCTCAGTCTGGGTTGGCTCTGGAAAGCAAGGATGTAGAAGACTGCCTCCTAAATTATCTAAACTGCATCGATGGGGGAATGTTATTGTTGTTTTCAAATCCCTTTAGCTGCGAGCATTTCGCTCTAATCGATGGGAGAATAAAAACAGATCTTTTTAAAAAATAATATAAAAATGCTGTAACAATGGAGCACTTTCAGTTTCAGGGTTGAGGCATGCATTTCCTTGCAGAGATAAATCGAAAGTAAGTTTCAAACTAAAATTAAAGAATTTGAACAAAAACATTTCAGACTTCATTCAACATTTAATAATTAACATGGTAAATATGTATAACATTATAACATAAAATAAATAACAATAACAAAAGTAGGTACGGTACCACAATAGAAATCTTGAAGACAGCTTTCAAAGAGATTACAAGGACATGGTAGGCCTATATTTGTTTTCTTAGTTCACATTCAACAATCTCCTTTTCTAAACTGTATCAAAGTCAAAGTGCTCGTTTCCAAGAGAAAGATATTTGACACACACACACATGTTGTACATAAAGCTTATTCCAACACACACTTGACTGTCTTTTCCTTAATCCTTTACAAACAAGCTTCTGCTAATCCTATTGCCAATGAGATCAATTCTTCTAGCACAGAAAAGTTTGTCACATTCTGAGCATTTAAAAGGTTCATTTCCACTTGTGGGCTTTTCTCTTTTCTCTTGATTTAAGTAATAGAGGCTACTCATAGTTCAGTGAAAGCAAAGGGAAGAGACACTATTCACATGGCACATCGGGAGTTTACAGAAAAGGGAAGATCTTCTACATGTGACGTACTTACCGGTAACAGTGAATTAATTAATTTTTTTTTAACAGTTGTTTATGAATCTGAGGAATGCAGAAATTTATTGAGATGTGAGAAAAAGAATAAATATTATGAGAAAGGACAACTGAAACTACAAGCTACAAAATTATAATTTATAATGACAACCCTTTTTTTTAAAAAAGAGGTCACACTCTATTTGGAAACCTGTGGAAACGGCCACATGACTATTCCAAACAAATGACACATTTCTCAGTGATCAACACAGAACCTACAGGACAGTTAACATCATGATAAAGATAGTGAATAGAAAAAGGAAAAAAACAAGTCTGTCCACCTGGTCAGATTCAACTCCTTTTAGCTTGTCCATCATCTCTGTCCAGATAACTTTGTCCTAATTAAACAAACTTGCCATGAACAGCGCACACATGTGTGACCTGTGGTCAAACCCACAAGAGAAAAAACAACTTAGCTATAATAAGTAGGCCTACCAAGACTAACAACTGAAAAGTGAAACTGTTTGGTTTCCAATCTTTCTTTGCTATAGATCAAGACAAGAACTTTCTATGTCCAACAGATTGGTACAGTAAGTAAACCTTGCATTCACAGACACCGGAATTACATTCGGTTTCCTTTTTATTCTCCTGAGTCAATAAAACACCTTGTTTGTAGCCTACTAATCAAACCCTCAATAACACTTGCAGTGTGGCTGGAAAAAAAAATCCTTCCAACAGTGGTTTCTTTCTCCCAAAACTGTCAACTCTGTTGTATTTCTACAGTGTAGGTATTTCTTCTCTCACATCAGCCATATTCTAATTTTACATAAAGTATGTACGGTACATCATGTATTGTATGTCCCGTGAACACAGATTTTCTTCTTTTTTTTTTTTTTGCGCTATGAAATGAATCATCATAGGCCTACTATAAAATCTATTATAATTTAAACTTTGTAAGGCTCAATAATTCTCATCAAACATGAACAAATGAAAATGAAAACTTGAATAAATGCAGTTATTGTCTACATAACAGAATATGGTAATGATCGTTAGGAAGGATCAGAATATCAAAGTAGCTGTGGCGTGATGTATTTCAACATTGAGCCTCTATCAACAGTTAAACACACATGCGGATAACTTGAGAACGACACATGTACACCATTGGCTGATATTTATAGTAACGGCCATCTTGTTTGACGTCATTGAGCCTGTAGCCTACAGTGGCGTGGTGGGGGAGTGGTTAGTGCCAAAGCAGAAAGTCCAGGTTCGAGCCTCGGTTCGGCCACTGATTTTTTTTTCCGCCCCCTCCTGCCCACCCACCTGTTATGAGTATCTGACATGCTTTTTCGGTTATCTTATATATTTTTTTAGAAAACTTTTTTTTTTTTTTTATTAGTCCTTTACTTCCCCAACTCAAAGTCAGGTACCCATAACAGGTGGGTGGGCAGGAGGGGGCGAAAAAAAAACAAACGTGGTCGAACCGAGGCTCGAACCTGGACTTTCTGCTTTGGCACTAACCACTCCCCCACCACGCCACTGTAGGCTACAGGCTTTTAAAATACTGCCGTAGTGCTTTGTGGTTGTGTTGCCACCGTGAACGACAACAAAGTGGGAATCCCTCAATGACGTCAAACAGGATGGCTGTTACTATAAATATCGGCCAATGGCGTACATCTGTCGTTCTCAAGTTATCCGCATGTGTTAAACACCGTCATCTTTTTTGGACTCAAATCTTGGATAGATTAATTTCAGTCAACTTTCTGCATTGTCTACAAGCATCGCTAATCTACACACAGGTTGAACTGACCACTGACATGACTGTTCAACGTATCCACATGAAATTTGTGCCAACATACAAACATCTACTTTGACATTTTTTTTTCCCACAAGATTTACTACACATCATAAAATTCAATATCTTTCCGAACGAAATCATAAAATCTCAAAGTCAAAGGGTTGTGAGGCCGATGAGTTGGTTTTACACAGTACTTTGAAAACATAGCTTTAAAAATAATCTTAAAAATATAGGGAACAACAATGTCTAACACTAACATAGTAACAACAATCTACTGCTCTATTGCATCAAAGGGATCAGAATCTGAGCCTTGATCAAAACACGTCCCAGCAAACCTCCCATGAATGTCGCCCTGAATGCCCTGAACATTCTCTGCTATAACTTTTGGGCTGACCGCGTCCACTTCTAGGTCCAGACTCTCACAGTCACTATCCTGAGGGACTTTGGATCTAGGACTTTGGACAGATTTTTTGTACACATCCCCCAAATCAAAGCTTTCCTCCTCGTCTCCACTTTCCAGCTTGTCGATGCTGTCACGAAGGATCTTCTCTTGTTTCTTTACTGAACTGGAATCTGTCTTCAGAGTCAATGTGCCTTCACTTTCAATAATACTGGTTACATCTGCTTCTAAATCAGGTACATTCTGATCTGTAACGGCAGGTCTCACCGCTCGAGCATAAGAACTTTTCTTAGGTTTATTTGTTCCATTTTCCTTCAATGGCTGACTGGGAACCACGCCATCAGAGTGAGAGGATGATTTGCTTATTTGAGGGGCTGAAAAGTTGTTATGTTTTCTAACTTTATGGAAAGATTTTTCTTGATCTCTCTGAATTTTTGAAACCTTCTCTGTGTTTTCTTTGCCTTTTTCAGAACCATCAACTTGAACCTCACTGTCCTTCTTGCTCATAGCAGAGTTTTTACTTTTCTTATTAGAATCTTTCGATCGGCTCTTTGAGAATATCTTTTTATTCTGGGAACCATTTTCAGCAATCCCCATGGAATTTTCCTCAGTTACATTTGTCTCATCATCAGAATCAGACGCTACGGACTTTTCTGAATCAAATTTCAGTTTTTTGCTCTTGCTGGGTATTTTGTCTTTCAAACTTTTCTTAGTGCTCAGAGTATCATCACATAGGGAATTTGAAACATCTTCCTTATTCTCTTCATTCACTGGCTTGTTATTTGACTTGACAGACGCCAGTTTTCTTTTCTTCTTGTTCTCGAGGTCCTCTCCCCCACCCACAACCTCCTCACTTCCACGGGTAGATTTGTTGCTGCCGCGTGTGTGGCCTGAAGATTTTCCAGAAGTCTTGCTCTTTGTACCCACAGAGCTTTCTTCTTCTTGCTTCTCCTCACATGTAACCACATCAGCCTTCTTCCCTTCACAGACAGTTTCGTTGTCAAAATTACGTTCCACAACATCAGAAGCAATCCGATCATGCTCAACGATTTCAGACTGTTCAATTTCTTTTGACGATGTAGCAGTATCAGTGTTTTCAAGATCACTATGAACCTCAGAATCTGAAGCATTATCTCTAGCCCCAAGTTCTTCATCTGGTTTCTCACAAACACCATTCTTCAGGGTTTCCATACCGCCTTTGACAACATCTTGACCGTCAACTGGCTCCCCAACTTCTTTTTCCATTTCACCATGAGCAAGAACATTATCAGCATCCCCTCCTTCACTGCCGGGCAAACTTTCACTAGAAGATTCCGACACCTCCTCTGTGTCTTGAGACACCTGTCCAGCACTCGAGCTGGGCAGCTCTGCTTCTTGACTCTGTGCAGTAGAGGCTTCCATGGTGAATATTTCTTTGTCAAATCTTTCTTTTCTTTGATGAACAGAAGTTACACCCTTTGAGCTGCAGTTCCTGTTATCTGTACTCTCATTTTCCTCGGTGGAATTTCCGTCGTCAGCGATACAAGAATCTGTTTAGATGTAACAAATGACAAGTGTAATCGATTTAATCATTCGTACGTCTGCATTTGAAGTGCTTACTTTGCATTAGTATGTGTGCATTAGTAGAGGTGAGTGTGCATGTGTTTGCATGTGTGTGTGTGTGTGTGAGTGTGTGTGTGTGTGTGTGTGTGAGTGAGTGTGTGTGTGTCTGTCATTCTGTGTGTGTAAGTGTGTGTCTGTCTGTAGGTATGTGTAAGTGTGTGTCTTGTGTGTGTGAGTGAGCGAGTGTTGCATGTGCATGTTTGTGCATTTGAGTACAAGATGAATGTATGTGGGTGTGTGCTTTGTGTGGACAAGAACACATGCATGCCATCATGTTCATGCACACTTACAATTCAGTGTGATCCCCCAAAATGCAGAAAGGTAGAAAAACAAAAACCAAGTGACCAAAGTGCTGTCTATGATAACAAAGGTAAAATTACCAGACTTTATAATCTATAGCGACAGAAGCAAATGATGGAACTGGAACAAGCCTCAGCAGCTTGACAAACACACAAAAATCCCAGAAGTCATTGTGGGAATGGATTTCTCTTATCTTGTCTACAATATTTCTTCTCAGTCGTTTTTTTTCTTTCGTTTTCGTAATAGTATTACGCCACTAGCAACACAATAAGGTCATATAAGTGCTGAAGATTAGAGATGTTACAAGGGAGTAACAAACACAAAAAAGAAGGAGAGATTAAGGATGATAGATGTTTGATAGGAAAGAAGGAGCAAACCACACCAGAGCACCCTCCAAACACCCACTTCTCAGTCACCAGAGCTTCTTTTTTCCCAAAGGTTATTCTGTCACGTATGATCTCTCATGTGGGTGGTTGGCGGGTGCTCTGGTGTGGTTTGCTCCTTTCTTTCTTTATCTCCCCTCCTTTTTTTGTGTTTGTTACTCTCTTGTAACACCTCTAATCTTGGGCACTTATATGATCTTATTGTGTTGCAAGTGCAGTAAAACTCTTACGAAAACTAACGATCTCTCATAAAACTTGAACACACAAAACAAGAAGTAACTTCACAGGATTCAACGCTGAATAAATGAAAATATTGCAAAGGAGAGATCACCTTTTTTCGAATTCTGTTCACAGCTGCCTCGTGAAAGAGGAACAACCACTTGCTGTGAATCTTTTTTTCCTTGCGTTTTGAGCTTCTTGACCTTTCTCCTGCTACTGCCAACAGATCCATCACGACCATTCCCTGAAACGAGGAAAAAACAGCAAAAGCACGTGATAAATGAAAGTACCATTTAAGGAAGTGTAAGGAAAACAGCATCTTGAAAAATCTAGATCATGTAGCCTACTACTCAATGATGACAAACACATTCGGAAAAATTTACTTAAGGCCCTCAAACTGATCCACATTTTCATTGCACTGTAAACAAAATTCTGTGAGTCATGATTACCTGTACATAACAGCGATACATCTTCTATTCTCCCTATATATCTTTTTCATCCTTGTCGTGTAATTCACATAAATGTTGTGTACCTGTTTATTTGTTTTAGTAAATGTTTTACGGCACCTGCAACACAACAAGGTCAGTAAAAGTGCCGAAGATTAGACAGGTGTTACACGAGAGTAACAAACACAAAAAAGAAGGAGGGGAGATAAAGACGATAGATGTTTGATAAGAAACAAGAAGCAAACCACACCTGAGCACCCCCCAACCACCCACACATTGTGTACAACAGCTGCTCGCAGAAACCAAAACCAAAAAGCAATTCCAATTTCATTGTTACGCCATGAGATGCAGAAACAGAAAACACATTTTTCCGCAAAAAATATATCAATAACATACATAAAAATGTATACCTGAGTACTGTTTATGCTGTCTTTTATGTCGCGAGTATCGTGTGGCAAATCCGTAAGTTTCAAGGCGCTCCTGTAGAAAACACAACAGACCTACTTGACAGCAAAATATTCTCATAACATTTTTAGCATTTTACCTACCACAGGAACTTGTTCTAAACAGGAAAAGCACATTGTTGACAAAAGCATTACAAGATTTTAATGCTGATGTCTTTTTTTATTTTTGTGAAGGATAGAAAAAAACTGCACCTTGTTTGGCTCAAGCCACTCACAGAGAAAACACCATCACTTTCTTTCCTAGATCACTATGTCGTTTACGGTAACTTTATTGTCTCCAGAAATAAACCTTTCTTCGTCTAAATCTGAGTTTTTACTTAGTTAATTTTAGCAAAAATATCGTGCCCAGGTAAAATAATGGCTATCTGCTGGCAGTAAAAGAAAAGACAATTAACAGATCAATCGAAAATAAAATACCAATGGCACACGCAAAACCACCCTAACTCTTTGACAGAATGATATTTTTATCAGTTAATTAAAGCATTCTGTCACACACCCCTATATATAGCATCAATGAACACTACAAGTGAAGGAACATTACTTTTCTTACCTTGAGGCTCAATTTCAGTGCATAGTCTGCATTTCTCTTGGCAATTTCAATTTCTTTCTTGTGCGACTGTGAGCGTTTAGACAGCTGTGAAAAAAACACATTAAGAATGTACAGAAGTACTTATTCCTTAGCCCAAGCTGTCTACTTTTTAAAAAAGGTAGGCTTACACTATAAAAGTTGATCTTGTATTTTTTTACAGTGAGAAACACATTAAGTTTTAGAGTAATTGGAAATCAGTTTGACTTGACTTCATTGACTCTTCCAGCTCAGTTCTTCTTTTCATACCTTGTTGAATCTTATGGGAAAGCTGATGTTTCGACAATGAGCAAAGATTAATTTTCCACAGTATGTACAGCATTGTTTATACGTATAAATCTGTAAGCTATCTGGCTTTACGTAAAGTGCCAGGAGCTGTGTGCACACAGGAGTATGTGCTATGACAATGATCTAAATGTATTATCATTAATAGTAATACAGTCCATGCCGGCTTTAAGCACGGTCATCGGGAGAAAGCTTAAGCGTGCTTAACGCCGAAGCGTGCTTGAGTGCGAAGTAGACATAATCCAGAGATTTTCATGTAGAAAATTTCCTGTGCGATTTCCCTTTGTTTGTAAGTAGGCCTATAGCGGTCCCGCAAAAATGTGCACTGCTATTTTTACCCGCTATGGTAGTTTTCATTTGTTTGTTAGTTTTGTTTTGTGGTCAAATGGGAAATGAAAACCTAATTTATCACGATACAGCACACGAGGCCTACACACTGCCTGTGCGTACCACTGCCCGCTGTGCCACATTCATACCATACCACTGCCTTCATCCCCCCAAAGACCGAGTATACACGGTCTGTGATCTCACCTCACGCGTGATACAAAATCAGGATTATCGGATAGCGAGGGGCAATAAGGTGAAATCGCAGCCTGCCTCCTTTTCTCGTCTCCCCGACTCTCTTAGCATTTTTTTTTTGTCTGTGCCTAGCTTTGCCCTAGGCGAGATCCAATGTATGTCCACGCGCGCGGCTGTGTGCATCTCTCTGCCTTCCTCTACGCGCGTGTGAGTGTCTCCATTACTTGCGTTCTTTGTGTTTCTCTTAACACACTCACTGCTGTGGTGTAGACTGTTCAAACTTCGATGGGTCATCATGAAAATATTGACTGTCTTGTAAATGAAGAAGCGTGCCTGAAGCCGAAGTTACCGTGCTTAAAGGCGTGTAGTTTATATAGCAAAAATTAGGTAAGAGCCGTTTAGCGTACTTGAGTCCGGAACGTGCTTTATGCCGGCGTGCTTAAAGCCGGCACAGACTGTAGCAATTCACAGGTTCTTTTTCTTTGATTTAAATTGCTTTGCCCTTTTCCGCTTTGGCCTTCTATTTATGATTGTCATAATTATTTTTCTCCCTTTATGTCAACCATTTCTCTAAATGTTCAATTCAGCCTTGGTGGGTCTCCTGATAACTTTATCACAATAAAATAAAAATTTCCCTTCATTACACACCTCAGAGCTACAAATTAAGTCAAGCAAAGTCGACTATCATAAGACGTGTAGCTTGTTTTCACTTTGTTCACTTACGACAGTGTGGGCTGAGAAAAGTGGCTCACTTCCCTATCATCATGCATGACAACAAAGTAGGTTTTTGCATTTTAACTTGACATGTCATGTACACTTCAAAGAATACTTACAGCAGAATTTAACAAAGTAGATTTTTGCATTTTAACTTGACATGTCATGTACACTTCAAAGAATACTTACAGCAGAATTTAACAAAGTAGGTTTTTGCATTTTAACTTAACAAGTCATGTACACTTCAAAGAACACTTACAGCAGTATTTAACAAAGTAGGTTTTTCCATTTTAACTTAACATGTCATGTAAACTTCAGAGAATACTTACAGCAGAATTTCTAGGCTGTTGCCCTTGATAAGGAGAGATCCATGCAGCCTTGATCCAAGCGCGGGACACACAGTCATCAAAAAAGGAAACATGATACTGTGTCTGAAAATGAACCAAGTGTAGTTTGTGAGGTGAAGAAGTCGTACAATGGATTCAGAGCAGTTTTTTTTTTTTTCTTGTTTTTTTTTGGGGGGGGGGGGGGAGGGTTTATTGCTAGTTTTAATTCCTTGAACATCAAAGACAAACGAGGCATGGGTAGGCCCAGAACAACCTACTTGAAGAGCCTAAACAGATGGGTGAAGGGGAAAGATCAGGAGATAATGTAGTTTTCTTAAGAGCATCCAAACAAAGGAACTAATGGAGAACCATGATTGCCAATGCTTGTTGCAAATCTGGCACTTGAAAATGATGATGCATGGTATAGAGGAAAAAACTTAAAAATCAGTACGGGAACAAAATGTTCACTTAAAGGGCTCTAAAGAAACAAAAAAGATTAACAAACATTTACTGTACCAAAAAAAACCCTCTTCCTTTTATCTTCAGACGTGAAAAAAGACACCATAACCAAGATATGTAATTCCTTTTTTTTTTTTTTATCTTTTAATGGTTTTAATATTCCAATCTCCTCATACAACTCAGAAGAAAATAAGTTTTCATTTTGCTTTCAGCTCACAGCTTTTACACTACTGTAAATACCAGCCTATTGTAAACAGCTGGACAATTCCTTAAAAATTTTTTTTTTTTTTTACCCTTTCCATGACACACTTGACTCTTCAGCACCACCCATAACGCGTCAACGATCAGAATCAGAACAGGCAAACATCATCCGACAACACATGAAAGTCAAACAAAGAACCACAACTCCAGAACGCTGAACTCCAAAACAAGAGAAAGTTTCGTGGCACATACAGGGTGCATGCTGTCCTCAGACAACAACTCAAAGTAAGTGTCATAGTCACAGTCACTTTCTATCATTGCAGGCCACCTGGAATTTCAAAATCAAGCGGAATGCACGGTTAAAGCTCCCGTGTCGCGAGTTAAAATGACGGGCACTGTAAACAAATGTAGTATCACTGTAACAAATATATATATATAGTCACAACAATTAAACTTTACCTAGAAAAGCGACAAAAGAAAAGCTTTTGGGGTAACATTTTTTTTCCTCCTGAACATCTTCAGTTGTATTGTTTATGAGAATGGAATGTGAATAGTGGCAGGCAGAAAATCACTCAGAGCAATAGAAAAATGGAGATGTAAAAGACATTAGTACTAAAGTGTCTACAAAAAAAACGTAATTGAAATAAGATGTTTTAAAAGCTTTAGCCCTGAAGAACAATCTTACTTTCAAACGTGAAAAGGCTTTCTAAACAAGTGTCATTGACTTCCCAGTGTGTCGCAGAAATCCAACAAACAATTCTTCCACAACTGTACCCAGTTTCTTAATGTCAGGTATAAAAAGCAGTTCTTCATAATATGTGAGCCAGCAAAATAAGATTTATAAGGTTTGTCTCATTCCACTATTTCGAGACATATATGCAAAAACTGATGTGAGTGGGAGGGTTTCAGAACCATCTATGATCCTTGCAGGCAAAGTGGGGGGTTTTTTTGGTAAGAGTTTTACAGCACTTGCAAGACAATAAGGCAATGTGTGAGAACTTGAGCATGTCTGTCTTCACTTCTGATTAGCAAACTGCTTCCAAAGTTCTAAAACATGAGTTTCTTTGACTAGCAACAGGCGAATGAGAGTGAGTCTCTTTTTCTGTTTCTAAATGTTGACTCTCGCTGTCCTGAGTGGACTCCCAACCAGAATCAAACACAGCTTAGGAAACAATCAAAACAACTCAAATAAGAATTCATTATACCAACTTGTAATATGCTTCTCTTATTTGATACCCACAGGTCACTGCGTAATAGGTTAAATCGTATACCTCATCACTCTATTATTATGATAAATAAAATAAAAATGAAGCACATAATAGGAGAGATCTACATTGAAGCATTTTTTTAATGACTCCAAGGAAGACGCACATATCGTAAATGTCATTCCGCAAGGGCCATCTTAATTTTTTAACAGTAGTTTTGAGAAAATTAATGAAAAAGAGATCGCCCAAATCAAGACTTTAACTAGGGCACTTGTGAATTGTACATTAAAAACCAGGAAGGAATAGTTCTTAATAAAGTCCTTTGTTTTTAAAAATAAAAATTGAAGGTTGACCATGAATACTACTTAACAGAAGAATGGCAACTTGACAACAATGCGATCCACTTGGGTGGGATTTTTTGTTGTTGTTTTTTTTTAACCTGCCAATTTCTTTTTCTATCAACCATTGCTTTTGTTTTTAGTAGTTCCAACAAAGTGCAGAAATTTAAGTTATAAAGTTTAGTGACCCCCTTGTTCAAAAGCCTTTTATCAAAAGACTGCTGCACATCCAACGTTATCATCAAAATATTGCACCTTTAGGACAATACCATTTCAAAATATGCCAAATTTTTCCGGACATGTTGACTCATGTCAGATGGACTTAATTTTCAATTAAATGTTGATTGCTAAGCAATAGAATGTAAATGTATGCGGAAGAAGTACAGATGAAGTCAAATTGATTCTCACCACGGATATCCATCCATTTTTGCCCATACAACAGATCCTGGGGTGAATTTTGTGAAGATATGCTCACTTTCATCATACTTCACTTCCGCAGATTCACAAGAGTTATGTTTCTTGTCTGGAAATATTTCAATGTGAAATAAAAAACATGGAGAAGAGGTGAAGGGGGGTGTAAAATGTTACACATGTGTAAGTTAATTTCATATAAAAAGCTCAAAGCAAGTCGAATCTAGTCTTATTTCATACTTCTGAAGTGGTTATAAAAAAAAACAATATTGCCATCAATATAAATTCTCCACATGTATTAATCAAACTCGGGTCTCCTGCATGCGACAGCAAAGTGCCTTACCGCTACACCACAGATACCAACTGACAGACCAGGCTGATCCAAATTTGTCGAGAATACTAGCAGACAAATAAATGTACAGCATCAGATTTTAACTGATTCAGCCCAAGGTCAATTTTGACTCCGGACGGAAATAATTTGTGACTGCTTCGTGACCTCACGGGTGGTCTCGCAAAAAATTAATTTTAAAATATTTAAATTTGATAAAACCTTATGTGTGGCATACAGAAATGTGCAAAATACAAAATACTATTCAATGAAACCAGAAAAAAGGGTTGAAATGTAAGCAGTTAGGGAAAAAGGACGAGAGGAAAGTGAAGCGAAGAAAAGGGAGCAATAGATAAGAGAGACACGGTCAGCCGCTGTGAGCGGCACTGCGAGCTGAATCAGTTAATGATATCTGCTACAACTACAAGGTTGGTGGAGACAAACTATAACCAAAATATACCTGTATTCATACTGCAAACCCATTTGTCCGGAATCCTAGCAGGGTCATCAACATCCGGGAGATATCTCCACTTTTTACACCACAGGTTACAACACTGGACCCAGGTTCCTGAAATATTAAGGTTACAAATCCCAATTCCACTTTCTTTTTCCATATCCGGACAGCTTCAGAAATATTTTCTAGTTCCTTTGGTTCTGAACTTAAACCCCCCCCTGTCCCTTTACACACACAAGTTTTAGAAGTTATGCTAATGATCCCGATAAATAAATAACAATCTGATTAATCAAAATACGCAAGCAAGTCTTAACCTGGAACCTACAAGGACAAATACAGTCAAACCTGTGTAAGACAGCCACCCATTGTCAAGGAGAAAAGTGGCCGTATAAGACAGGTGGCCGTCTTAGACAGGACTGATCAAGATGAAGAAAACCAACCATTCCCATCTAAGGTCCCAATCGAAAGTAGCCGTATTGCTGTTGGTTTTGTTGCTGTTGGTTTGTATTTTGTTTTTTTATTTTTATTTTATTGCTGATTTTGCGAAAGGGTGACAATAAAACGAAACGTGTCAGACAAGGAGGTCCGAGTGCTGGGGTAAAACAAACACATGGGTCGCCACCACTCGGAGAAGGAGCGACGCTTCTGTCACAAGTTCATGCTGACGTCCATTGTTACTTTGTTACAGACTGGGTAAACAGTGACCACTCATCTCACTTACGATTTGTGTATGAGTTCTGGGCGGGGCTTATGGGTTATGAGCCATACGTTCTTATGACCGTCTTGGTTATGAGGGATCACACGCTTTACCTCACCAGATCTGAACATTGGTACCTATTTATTGGTCAACAGTGGGAAGGGCCTACGCAACATTATCGGTAGGAGGGACTACCCAACAATATAATGACAGGTGATTGGATTATGACGGCTCGCCCACAACGCCAGGGGCCAATGCACAATTTATGACAAAACGTGATGGAGTCACTAAGGTGGCCGTCTAAGACATGTGTTTTTGTTTGGTGTGATAGGGGTTTTGTGTTGAAATATGTTGGTTGCGGCCGCGTTGGACAGGTGCCCGTTTTACAGAGTTAAATTATATAGAAAAAACCCAAGGGGGGAAAAGGAAAGTGGTCGTTTGTACAGGTGGCCGTCTTATAGAGGTGGCCGTCAGGACAGGTTCCACTGTATACAGAGGAAGGCCAAAGAGCTTTGCTTGCTAACATCCTTTACTCCAGAAGGAACCAATGTCAGAAGTAGTGTGAAAGTGGGCTGATTAAAGTTCTGTTTGACAACTGCTATGGGTCTTGGCTCAATATTTTTCGGTAACATAAGAACTATAAAGTATCTACTGGTATTCACAAGAAATCAAAGGACTGAGAGGGAATATATAAATGAGGAATCCCTACCAATTTCCTCGTCACTGCTGCTGCTGTCATCAGAGGTCTCTTCCCTTGTCATTTTCTTCTTATTCTTTCCTTGACTGAACCTCTTCCTCTGCTGTTCTTTCAGCAGCTCCTTTTGCCCACTTCTTTTAGCCACTTTATTTTTTGCTTGGAAATCTAGAGAAACCAAAGTCATGGATAATTCATATACATCTTCTAAAAGTTATGTATTTGTCACTATCCGTGTCAACTCATAATTGTGTGGCATCGTGGTGAAATACGGTGCCCATCAAATAACAAAATTGAAGACAGTCGTGACAATTTTTCGTTTGTCTGGCAATTCTTATTGAATTTTTTTAGAGGGCTCAACACTTTTTTATGCTCATTTAAAAACACAAGTATGTGTGGGTTTTACTGAAAAACTTTGATCAAAGGCACAAAAAATGTAAATTTGCAGTTTCCAAGGACACTCAAGCTTTGGAAGTTACCAAATTTTGGCAGCCAATCTCTTGCTAAATTTACCCCTGATACCAGTTGATTTCCCCCCCCCCCTCCCCCTTCAATTGCAAATATCTTGACTTGTATTTAAGATAGATGGACATTACTTGTCATCAAAAGCAAGACAAACGAACAAGCTTTAAGACGATACCAATATCATGACAAATTATTTCTTCCCCCTTCTTCTGACCTTCCTTTCAGCTCAAATCTTCCCATAAGAATGATCTGTCTCCTTTATTCTAATATCTGTCAAATTGTCAAATTCAGCCCATCACTGATTCTGACCTCAACAAAACAACACCCTCACCTTTCTGAAAGCTCTTAGGTCCTTGATACTGCTTGTTTGCTTTCCCCTTATTTAGAGAGTTTTCTCTGCTTTCCATCATTCCAGAGGTTTTCCATGCTTTTTTCTTTGATTTCCCACCATCGTTTTCATACTTTGATACGTGACAATCTGCAACCGTAAAATGCAAGTTTGTGATTTACGATTCGATTTTGAAAATGATGTAATATATATATGACAATCAACAATAAAATTATTAACCTTACCATCTTTTGGATAAAGGCAAATTAAAAACAAATCTTATAACTTACAAAGATGTACACAAATCAACACACTAACCTTTTGGAGGATTCAGCGATCTTGTAGATTGACTATTTTCTTTTTCCTCATCATTTGAGCTTTTCAAGCTATCCGTCATACTATGTGCTTTCTTTACTGTTTTCTTTGGTTTTCCATTATCGCCTGCGTTATTTGACATCTTCACATCTGTAAGAGGGCACAATTTTGTTATTTTAGAGAACACAATTTTTAAAGTTTAAAAAAATATGGAAAGCTGAAAAATAACTCAAATGGTATTATCATATTATTTTAAACAACATTTTCAATATACTACTGTGCCAAACAATGCTGACGAAATGTTAAGAAGCAAAACAAAATCAGCATTGGCATAATTTGCTCTTCTAAAAGGTTAAATTACAATTAAAAGATTTCCATTTTCATCATGACTGGCAAAGCAAAACCAATTTGTAGTTGTAGGCCAACAACTTTACAGGCCAGTCAGATTAAACTGCTGGTAATGATCACTGGTAATATCTATCAGGAGAACATCATACATTTAAGGTTTCTTTGTGAACGACTTTGGGGGTGGGATTTAGCCACCTTAGCACTCTTCTTGAATGCTAACATTTCATGCATTTTTTACCTTCTCCGACATTCAAGCTCCCCAAACTTCACAATTTTTAATGTCATGTCCTGTTGAAAATGTTTTCAGTGAGTGATGCAGACACCAAACTTATATCCCACAATAGCTTTTTGTTTGGTGAAAATTAAAGTAGCAGCACAGGCAAATATGTTAACCCTTACAACTCTAGTCCCATTTTCCTCACAGGTTCTTGTTTCCCCAGGCCCAGTTGTATAAAGTCCTTCACAGGGTGCCAGCCACCTCAAACCCAGTCAGAATTCTTACTGTCATCTGGTCGATTGTCTTTGAAAAATATTCTATACAGTATGTTATTATCATAACTTTCAACAAAGGCAGTATAGAAATATTTTCAATGTCGGTAAAAATTTGGAGATGCAATTGCTGTTGACTGGGCCTCAGGAGTCAAAGACTCCAGCATTTCCGGGATCAATGGGTAGTGAGGACTAAAAATAGCCCAGGGCTGTAAGGGTTAACAGAAAACAAATTGTACCCATAATAAGAGTCTCTTTCTTTGAACAGCCTCATGATTAATTGTCTTTCAGTGCCCTAGAAGTTCAGGCCGTACAATTGTGATTCGAGGAAAAAAAAATTGTGTCAATGTTTTAAACATATTATTCGCTTTTGATAAGACTAAAAAGTCACAAACGATCTGCTATTTTTTTTTCAGCCTATCATGGATACAAACAGAACATTTGATTTACCTGATGGAAAAGACAGTTTCACTTGTTTTAGTTCATACAGCTTCTTTGCATCCGCAGTTTGCTTTTTGAAATGATTGCCAGAATCCTTTGACTCTTTTGGTGGTGGTATCTCTACAATCTCTGGGTGGCTGTTGGGAACAAACAAGTCTCTCAGTCAAATTCATGTGTAAATAAAATAAAAATGAATACATTATTCTTTACAGAGTCCCCTGGGAGAAAATTTGAATTACAATGGCAAATATACATACATAAACACATGTCACATCGTGCTGGAATCAGGCGCTCGTTTATTTATAGGCATGCAGAATTATTCATCTTAAAGCTTGTTCATTAGTCTTGCTTTCGATGACAAAAGTACCTATTTATCTTGAATAGAAGTTGATATATTTGCAATTGAAGAAGGTAGGGGTCACCTGGTTTCAAAGGTAAAATTAGTGAGAAAATGGTTGCCAAAGTTCAATGATTTCTATGAGAGGGTAATCTAATTTCATTGATTGATTGATGTGGACCCCTTTCACATCTGATCTCCTGGGGTGGGTTGCATCACTGAGCTGAGCTCGCCCTGAGGTGATCACAGACAACTACTGTCATCTTTACAGCACAGTCCTCTCTAACTGTCTGCCTGTCACACATGGCTAGTCACTGGCTTTCCTCATTGCACAATTCTGTCTCACACCTTGTCCCTATACGTCTTTTTCTCTCTGACAAAGTCATGACTTCAAGTGATAAAGGAGAGCATGTGATGTTATTTTGCAAGCATCAGTTCCATGCGAAAGGAGTCATGTTATGGCTGATCTGTTCCTAACACTAGCGCAGAAACGATCTTACTATTAGACAGAGTTGTCGATTTGAAACTTGCTCTTACCAGTGATCATTATACAAGAAAAATTCAGTTTTACGCTGTCAGCGTGCTTTAAGGGATATCTTTTTGGTTTTTTTATCTGGCATGGTATTTTCTGAAGACCACTGTGCCATGTTGTCCAGTAAATGTCAACTAAATTGTTTGACAATTCAAAATATGCTTACTCTTCATTCCAGTCATCAATCTCTTCATCCTCATGGCCACTGTTCCATTCAGTAGAGTTAGTTTCACCAAAGTTGTCTTCATGACGCATGCTTTTTGCCGAGCTCTGGTGGACTTTTTTGGTGGGTACCCTATCTACACATAAGAAATCAGGAACCTTTGAGCAAGACAAGAAATTAAGAAATTCATTAACAAAATTCGCATTTCCCACAAAGAATTTCAAACTTTTTGATCTACTTAAGAAATGGACTAATAATAATAAAAATCTATAAACCCTCCACATCAAAGAAGAGTGTGCCATTAGCTCCGCTGGTAACAGAATGGAAAACAGCACAGGGAACCCTGAACAATGTTTAACTTGCGGTATACACACCTCACGATAAGAGCGACATTTTTAAAAAAATGAGATCTAAAAGTATACCTCCCATATTATACGCACAACATACAGCCAGAATCAGGCCTAACAAAGGGGTAGCTAATAATATAATGTCACAACAGGATTTTTTTATTGAGCAATTACCCAATAATTAAGTCAGGCAGCTGCATAACAAAGAAAGTGTTGGATTGGAATCCACAGGGTAAAAGACCAAGGGGAAGACCGCGTGGAACCAAGAGAAGAACTACAGAATTGATGAACAGAAAAGTGGGAAGACATGGAATAACATCAAGAGGCTAGCCCAGGATAGAGAAAGGTGAAAAGTGCGGTGGGGCTATACCCTGGTACAAGGTGAGAAAGGCAATGACGATGATGGCCTAATAATTATTAAAAATGTAGATTTTGCAACTCATCACAGCGTCTTTCTTGGAATAAATGCCACTCCAGTTTCACAGATTAAATACACATTTCTGCAACAACCAACAGTTAAGGTGTCACTGGCATGCATCATTCATTGTTTGAATCTACATGAGCAGAACGTACAAAAAGAGTTTGTAAAAAACGTGATTGTTATACTAACCACTGTCGTCTAAAGAGACTGGAAGCAGGACATTGATAAAGATGTCGTCATACTCTTCTTGTGTCAAACTGCGAGCCTCTGTATTTGATTTCCTCGGCTTCTTTATAGCTGGGGTATCAGCAACTGTTAAGTCAACCAGAATGAGATGGGTAATTTGATGCCAAATCTCATCTACATAGCAATTTACAAACATTAACTGGTTGAGTGTGTGGGTGGTTGGTTCTCTGGACAAGTATAAGTTGCTTGTAGTCTACAGAGTTTTCCATGTTGACCACAGCACCAAACAGCTTGTTATCTGGACATCAGTACCCGTCTTGTAATACATGAAGACTCAGAAGATCGTTCTCTCTCTCTCTCTCTCTCTCTCTCTCTCTCTCC